ACATAATAGACAAATTAACCAGTCGACCATCGATCAAAACCACATGCAATCCCGAAATCGACCAAGTAACTTAGCCAACGAAAAGTGATCCTAAATAATCCTTAAACAAGTCCGACTAATTACCTAATTATACTAACTAGGGTTTAGAGAGTTGCTTACTTGGTTCAAGGACAATAAAAATCGGCCGATAGAACAGTTGGCGGTCCCGGCGCAAGCGTGAGCTCAAATGGTGACTAGTCGGCGGGTGCTCGGCCACGACCGGAGAACGACGGCGAGCTCGGCGGCGATGCATCGTGGCGGCGACGGTGTCGGCGGTGGCAACGGCGTGGGGGCGGCAGACCAGCCGGCCACAGCCTCGGCCGGCGACCGAGAGGCGGGTGGCAGCGGGTCGGCGGCGGCAGCGGCGCGCCGGGCCCGGCGGTGCGCTGACGATGGCGTGCGGCGGCGGGCCGTGCCGGCTCAAGTGGCGGGCGACGCGGATGGATTGCTGCTTGGGACCGACCGCGGGGGGGCGGGCCACGGGCCGGCGAGGTGGAGGCGAGGCGGGGCGGGCCGGCGACGGCGACGGCTGCGACGGCGATGGGCGGGGGGAATGCGCAGATCTGGCGGGGGGCGGCGTCGGGGAAGGGGAGGGGTAATGACATGTAAATTTGCGACGGATTAATTTTTCTGTCGCAAATTTGAACGGCAAAATTTCCCTCGCAAAATTTGCGACGGACTATGCTGTCCTTCACAAAATTTGCGACGGGCTGAACTGTCCGTCGTAAAATTTGCGACGGACTGAACTGTCCGTCGCAAACCGATTAATTTTCCCGTCTCAAATTTGCGACGGATTAATTTTTCCGTCGCAAATTTAAACGTCAAAATTTTGACGGCAAATTTGTGACAGACAGATTAGTCCGTCGCAAATTTTGCGACGGAAATCATGGTCCGTCGCAAAATTTGCGACGGACTACGCTGTCCGTCGCAAATTTACAATGGATTTTTTTTACGACGAAAATTTCGAGCGGTAAAAATCTTATCGCAAAATTAACTTCCTGTCGCAAATTTGCAACGGACTTTCTATATCGGTCGCAAATTTGCGACATAAAAAAAATTCCGTTGCAAATTTACGACGGATTAAATTATCCGTATACAATTTCGAACTGTACAAATTCTCTCGCAAAATTTGCTACGGACAGCTTGAGTCCGGCACAAATATGCACATACTACATGAACGTTGTAAATTTGTGAATTTTTTTTTTCGGTCAAAAATTTATCATCTCATTTATTTGGGTCCTAAATTTGCTACATCTTTTTTTCAATCCAAAATTTAGGCATCTCAAATGTTGCAATAGAAATTAGAATATCGGAAATGTTAGGGCACGTTAATAATATTAGACTTGTCGGCATTTAGGGACAAAATTTCGGACGATCAATTAAAATAAAAAGAATAATCAACAATAACAATAATAAAAAAGCACAATAACAATAATAACAAGAACAATAATGATAACAACCAAAATAGCACCTGTAGCATTAATAATTACACATCTGTAGTGTTTTGTGACAAAAATTTTAATCTTCGTCTTCGTCTTCGTCTTCGCCTTCGTCTTCATCTTCGTCCCTCGTCCTCGTCTTCGCTATCCGTCGAAAATCAGATTCGAACATTCTTGTACATTTAACTCGCAAATTTCAGTTGGCTCCACATCTATCATTGCTCCACACGGATCTCGTAAAGTTGGTATGTTATATTCCTCAATTTCAACCGTGTTAGACACTTCCTCCTGTTGGTAGGCTCTATCCTTCCAGTGTTCCTCGATTTTCCTCCGTGCTTTGATTTTACATATGCCCACCAATCAGCTTTGTCACGTTTCAAACTAGAATATGATGCATAACATACTTGAATTGCTTGTTGTGCCAAGACAAATGGTTCATACTTCATATACCTTTTCTTGTGATTTATTTCAACCAAATTGAACTTCGTATGCACCTTCATTCATTTGACGGGGTCGAACCACGTGCACTTAAATAACACAACCCGCATCATTAATGGTCCAGGGTACTCTATTTCTATGATTTCATCCAACAAGCCATAAAAATCATCTTCGAATCATCACCATTGGATGACCGAATGCGGACACACCACTATTCATTGTGGATTTTCCCATTCCATATTCTTGAGTATGAAAATTATATCCATTTATGAAATATGCTGGCCAACTTCGAACTCTTAACTGTGGACCTCATGACAGATAATGTAGCAATCATTGCCCTCCAATTTCATCATAATTACTGTGAACCTAAGGTTATACATGCAAAGTTAATAATATATATTTAACTAAATGATGTATATAATTTTAATAACTTGGTTTTGATCCATAGGCAACTTACATATGTCTTGAACCATGCTGCAAATTGTTCATCGCACAAACGGTCAAACTCATTTGGTTGTAGTCCAAACATTTCAGTTTGGAAAATCCTAATATTAAAAACCATATCATTATTAGCAAATATTTGACACGCAAAACATATATTTACAAATTTACACTTACTTGAAGTATGGTTACTACCGAATGAGTTCGGTAGAAATATAAGTATGGGTTTGCATGAAGTTCTTCGCCCGATAAGTAACGAAATTGACATGTGCCGCTTGGTCGACCCGAGATAATTGAAAATAGAGAATCTTTGTGCAATTGGGATCAATGGGGCCCTCGTCATTTCTGCCCGCTCTCCGCCTCTTGCATTGAACGTGCGGCTCAAAATAGTATGATGCAAATGTCGTCACTTCTTCCACAATATATGCATTACAAATTGAAGCTTCAACATGTGCCTTATTCTTCACTTTTTTCTTCAAATGATATAAGAATCTAGTTGAAATAGAAAGAAGCTTATCGGGACATATTATATGATAAACTCATTTGAACTGTATTTTAAAGAAAACATTACCTTTCAAATGGATACATCCATCGAAATTGGACGGGACCTGCAACTTTGGCCTCATAAGGCAAGTGAACTAAGAGATGCTCCATCGAATCAAAAACGCTGGAGGAAATATCCTTTCTAAGTTGCAAAGAATAATTGGAATATCTCTCTCTAGTTTTTCCATGTGCGATGCTTTTAACACTGTCGAGCAAATATCATGGAGGAAATTGCTTAATTCCGTAATGGCGCCCCATACAAAGTTCGGTAAAACTTCATTCAAAGCTATTGGAATTAGTCTTTCCATCAGGATGTGACAATCATGAGCGACTTTTCAAACTCGTCAACTTGCATTTCTTCAAATCAACACATCTCCCGAGGTTCGAAGCATATCCATCAGAAACCGCCTGATTTCAACCATTGACAAACAACTCGCCTCTGCTCCTTATCCAATGTATAAACTGCTTTCGGTTTTGGTCCCCTGCTGCTTGCATCCACAACTAGTATTGGCCGATTGCAAATATCTCTCATATCTTTTTTTGCGTTCAAGTTGTTTTTTGTTTTTCCGGCGACATCCATCACAGTATTTATGACATTGTCGAAAACATTCTTTTCTATGTGCATGACGTCAAGATTATGATGAATAAGATGAGCCTTCCAATATGGTAGATCCCAAAATATACTGCGTTTTGTCCACTTATGTGTACTTCCGTACTCAAAAGTCGTGCCGTGCGGGTTTTCAACAATGGTTGGAAAGTCCTGCACACGCTCCCAAATTTGATCGCCGGTCCAACCTCAATGGTGGGCCAGCGTTCTTCATCTATTCTTCTTGAACTCTTTAAGCTGTCCAATGGGTTTCATTACATTCGATGCTAGAGACTCATGATGAACATGCAATGGTTATGCAAGATTTCTTAGATATTGTGACTACATCATGCTAAAACTTTCCTTTTCTGTGTTATTATTACATAAATTCAAAGGTTGAAACATAAGAGCCCAAGACTGGCAGATTGTGATGGTATTGATTCTGCCAATGACGGATACGGGATTTCGATTATGGTGGCGACATAAGTAGTTAAGGAAGCGAGATGAATGTTATTTATAAAATTGGCTCAGGAGAAAATACATATAAATCATTGGCCAAGCCATGTTTCAACTAGTGTCGAGCTTGAGACTGATGGCGATGGCCATCACTTACCCTTGAGGTCCGTCTTTGTCGTTATGTTCTACTATCGAGTCTTTTGCCATGCGATATTGAAGTACACAAAAGATATGCAAACTTTAAATTGTGAAACTACGATATGACAGTCATATCGTATGCACAAATTCTTCTTACAATCATTTAAATGCCTAGAGTCAAGAACTTTAGATTATGAGACCATAATGTTGTGGTCATGTGACTTTTGTGCACAAACTCACATTCCTGTCATTAATTACTCTGTTATATTTACTTAATTGCTTTTTTCCTCCGTTTAGGCATCGTGCCTTTCTAGTGGTAATCCAGGATTACACACAACCTAGCCAGATTTCAAAAGAAAAGTAAAATATTAGCCGAAGTTCATATTCCTATCAATAGCCTTGATTAGCTTTCGCAATTCAACCCATGTTAATTGCTCTCCCAACGGCAAGCCTAGCTAGCTAGCTAGATTCTTGACAATTTGTTTTCTCCCTTCACACTCTATTCCTTTTCCCCATTAAAATTTTCTTATGTTTTCTTATAGAAAAACTTCATTGGTTCCTCAATCTCCATCCTCCACATGTAGTCAAATTGCTTGAACCCCCCATTCCTGCGGCCCTTTGAAAGCAGACAAACCATTCAGTGCCAGCCATTGATTGTTCACAAACCACCTCGCAAATTTAATCTTTGATCAGATTTAGATTCTGGTCAGAAGATGATGATGATGATGTCGATGTTGATCGGAGATAAAACCAAATCACAATCAATGATTGGGAGGCAAGAGAGCATCAAGCCACCCATGACCCAATACTTACTGTTCCTTTCCTTTCTCTCTCCTAGGACAGCTATCTCCCAATTAAAAAAAAAAGATTATGTTGAATGACCAAAGGACTAATTTTAAAGAAACCCTAAGGAAAGGGTTTTGATGTGTCCACCTTCTGCTGGCCTAAACAATTACATGGTTATCAAAATAGTTAGGGTGACCCACATTCCCACCACATGCAAATTCTTAAAAATGTTCTCATCTTATGCCCGTTTCTATTTGCAGCGTCCTCTATATATAACAAGAGGAGGAAGAGTCACAGTCCCACTTCAAACCTCATTTCAAAGATTTGAGTGTAGTTTCACCAATCAGAAAGCCCACCAAAAGAGAAACGAGAGGAGGACCCCAAAAAAAAATGGCAAACTCATCGTTCATGGAGGGTGTGCATCTTCCTCTTAGGTCGATTAGCTTGCCCTCAAGGCTACCTTCGAACTCTCTCAAAATCGTAGCTGAATTATCCAAGTTGAAAGCCTCGGAGTCTTCCCTTAGAGCCAAAACCATCCGAGTGAACATGGCGAGGCTCGCCGAGCTGTATGTCAGCATCGAAGAGCTCATTGGCTCTCCCCTCACCCAACAAGCTATTCTTCGAGACCGAAATGGTAAAGCGATGCAGAAGGCGCTCGACGAGTCGATTATGTCATTAGACACTTGCTGGTTTGCGAGAGACTTGATGGCGAGGATGAAAGATGAAGTCCAAGATCTATGGTCCGCGATTCGAAGAAAGGGCGGAATAAATTCGAGCATTGAAAGCCATGCTAAGGGTTTCATGAGTTTTAGAAAGAAAGCCAAGAGGGATATAGCGAAATATCTAGTTCAATTCAAGACCCTGGAAGGCAAAAACACTAATAACTCATCAAAGTTTCTAAATTCAGACAACCATATAGTCATGGTGGTCGAAGTCTTGAAAGAAATAAACCTCATCACCATTTCAATCTTGAAGTCCCTCTTGATCTTTGCCTCTCCTACAAAGACCGGTGGCTGGTCATTGGCTTCAAGGTTGATGCTCTCAAGCGAGAAAGGCGTGAAGAAAGTCTTGAATGAAGTGGAGAGAGTGGACTCTACCGTGAGCTCCATCCGTGAGCAAGCAACTCGGAAAGCAGACGCTGGGTCCGAAGCTCTAAAGGTGGCGCAAGAGAGGCTCGAGACGCTCGAACATTGCATGGAAGGGCTTGAAGATGGAGTCGATCGACTCTACAAACGCTTGATTCGAATTCGAGCGTCTCTTCTCAATGCATCAACTGCTCCTTGAGGATGTGAAAGCTTTGTGTCTTCCTAATGTTCCCGGCATCCAAATTTTGAAGGACCGTCTAGAACCTAAGTTTTGTACTGCAGTTTCGTGTAAAGATTTCATTGTTATCGATTGAATCACTACCAACATTGTTCATTATTCTTTGTACTTAAGTTCTTATCCAACGAGGTAACACATCATAGCACTGATATTAAAGCCAAGTAGTGCGCAAAAAATCACAAGACTTTAAGATTCCGTTTGTTTCGTAAAAAATGAATGATTTTGACAACATTTTCTTAACAATGATCACTTGTACTGCCTATAAAAATGAATAAACGGAAGATATTTTCATCGTCTACGAAAATACTTAGATGTAAATTATTTTTGATAATAAAAATATAATTTTTGTTGATTAATTATTGCAAGTGATATAAGCGATCATTTTCGGAAGAATTTTTTTCAAATAATTTATTTTCCACGAAACAAACGCACCCTCAAACTTCTGTAAAATCCTTGGCAAACAGAGACCGATGTTAATCTCAGACTAACATGAGACCGGTTTTATAAAATTGATAAAAATTGAGAAAACATATTATAAGTGTGTAAATTCATACAAACATGCCATATTTGGTAATAATAATACTCTCTGTCATATCGTTTTATGAATTAATTTTGTGAATCGTATTTGATATTTGTGTATCGAGCATTATTCTGTCACATGAGGTCACTATTTGCAGTCACGGGATCACATGGTGCAGTAGGAGACAATAGACAGACCAATAAAAGGCATACAAATGTCTCACTTGCGTTACCATGTGACTCATTATCCTTAAGAAAATCATGCGTTGGGAAATGGTGCGGTAACCGAGGTACAATGGAAATAAAAAAAAAATGTGTATACTCGGTTTATTGGGGGTTTAGTAAAAAGTATCAATTGCAAATAGAAAAAATTGCATAAATTTGTTTGTGTTTTCCATGAGATCCAATACAAATATGACTATCAATTTCTTGAACACGCATCGATCAAATTGATCGAGTAGAATAATTACATATAGACGAATAATAACAAAGCACAATAATTCGTACCGAATGGTTGTATTTCCGGATAATTTAAGTTCACTTTAATAATCAATCATGATTATTTTATCTCGAAATCATAGATTTGAGAGGAACACGAGGGATAATTTCTCGAGATTAGTCCTCAAAAGCTTACATCGAGGGAAAATGAACTCAAGACACTTTATCCCCTTTAAGGCTCAAGTTCTTAGTCATCTTATCAACTCAAGTATTCTTTTGAGGTTACAAAATTGTTCATTCTCAATAGAATTCTACGATATACATTTATGAAACATATCATATCTATATCGAGATGTAACTGGTTCATATATGTTACGAGAACTCAATCCTCGTTGTGTGTGTGCCTATATATACAGACACACACACAACTTCGAAAGTGATAACTAAAGTTTATATTGCATTAACTAAGTGCGTGTGGGCTTAAGAAATCAATCTTGTCGTTGCCAATAATTAGTCTCTACTAAATGAAGTGCTCGAATTATAAACCTAGACCTCGTCTCCCATGTTAACGTACGTAACGAGCTCTTCATGAACATTCCTGGTGGACAAGGAGAATCAAATCCTCATGGGACGACAATGAAGTGGTTTGTTTTTCTATTAAGTGCTCACGATTAATCGAATTCGAGTCATCATGTCTTGTTCATCTGCATATAGTGATCTTCAAAAGATATGTAAAGTATTCAGATGAATTCGCCTTGTTGGCTGGCTTCTTGTCCCCAAAGGACTGAAGCAAGTACTGTATTAAACAAAGATTCAATGATTAGCCCTCCTCTAATAATGCCCAAAAAGATAGTTAATCTTTTGATGAGACACAGATCCATTTCATAGCCCAGTTAGATTTTACGATAGCTAACATTCATATGATTATTGTGTTGGTCGGTCGATGAGACAAACGAGATTTTTGAAAGTTATATTATAATTATTATCTTGTACAGACATCTCTTAAAGGACGGATACAAGGTACAGAATATATGCAATGATTTGGTGATAAAAAGGTATTATTTTAGCATGTTGTGTCTCTAATATTGTTGAGTGGAATTACTACAAACATGTGGAGTACACTCCCTTGTATAGCGTTCAGTCGAGATTCGTATGGACTTGTCGCTTGGGCGTTTGATTTTCAGTTTGTGATAAGGTGATTTATGCGATAAAATTAATGGGAAAAGATACGTGGCTCACCCTGCCACCTTGTTTCAAAGGAAAACTTATGACATGATCCCGATGCATGTGCATTATGCTCGCATACCTTATGTTCATGCAACGGTGACTCGTTTTAAAGTGCCCTTATATACATTTCATCATTGTAGATGTTTCTTATCTTACATTTATCAATTATTATCTCAAGATCTCCTTGGGCAAAAAAAAAATCTCAAGACCTCAAATTTCAGCGATTAGGTGCGTGAATATATATAATTACAATTCACTAATTTTGCAAATAGTAGATGCAGAAATGTTGATTATATTGGGATAGAGGGACCGAGAGAACATTTTGCATACTCGGATCACGACACAGTGATGGAGTTGGGTAGATTGGTATGACAAGTATGGGTGAGCACTAAGCTCGGTTCAAATTCGGAACAGGACTAAATCGGTTTGGATCGATTAGTCCTGGGGCGAACCGATTTGGTTCCCTACAAACCTAGAACCAGTTCAAGGCCGATTCTCAGGAGGACTAGTTCGGTTTTCGGTTCCGAGGCCGGAATTGTCGATCCTATCTAGGAACCGATTCTCAACCGGTTTTAATAATTCTTTGGGTTAATATCAGAAAAAACCCTAAATCTGTACACTTATAACAAATTTATCAAAAACTAATTTTTTGACCACAAAAAATTCCAAACCGGTACACCTGAGACCAATTTACTTTTCATTATTTTTCATTAAATTTTATCTTCAAATGGTTGAATTGGATGACACGTGGTAGTTGATGAGTGTGCTAGTTTAGGGTTTTACCCTTCTGTTTGTCACAGATTTATCAATTTATGATTTTTCATAGTATTAATTCAATTTAACTGGGGTAAATTTGTCACAAGTGTACCGATTTAGGGTTTTTGGTAGTCAAAACATTAGTTTAGGGTAAATTTGTCATAGGCATACTAATTTGGGGTTTTTGGTGGTCAAAAAATTTGTTTTGAGGTAAATTTGTCACATGTGTATCAGTTTGGGATTTTTCGTGGTATTAACCTTAACTCTTTTAGCAAAATGTAATACTTTTGCATTCATCAAGGATCGAAGTCTTTAATATGAACAAATCACAACATAACCACTTGACCAACAAATACTCTTATAGTGAAATGATGCAACTCTATTAATCTTTTTATTATTATAAGAATTTGATAAGCACACTAAACAAGAAGTGAACCTGTTCAAGGATAGAACTAGGAACCATAAGCGGGAACTGAATCAAAACTGACGTTTCTAGAATCGACTGGTTCACTTTCTAGATTTGAAAATTTGGAACTGAAATTCACAGGATCGGTTTGCGATTTAATTAAAGCCGGGGACCTACCCACCTGAAAATTGATAACCCCCACCCCCATTGATGAGGCCACTTCACGCCAAAGGCCATGATGGGTCAACAGACGGTGTGGTGGCTCTAGAGGCGGTGGTGACACGTGCAAGTTCAATGGAGAGAACGAGAGTGAAGAGGATAGAGGATTGTCGGCCCAACAGACAATAATCTTAGCCAATAGCATAATGTATTTAATTTACTCAATTCCTTCTCAAATGAATTATGATTGGAAATGTCTTTGGATTTCTTTCGGTAAACCTAGGTAAATTATTTAGTTAAAGGTCCACGTTTGAAAAGATTTTGATAAGTAACTACACCTTTTTTAAAGGTGGCTGTTGATTTATAAATTACTTAGAAAGGTATCTACCAATGTAGGACTTGAGATGTGACAAACTTCCCCCACTTAAAGAAATGACATCCTCGTGAGCGTTAACCTGTATTACTCATCGATACTTCTTATATTCAAAGACGCAGTCCGATTCATTCCCAACCCTTCTGTCATCCTATAGAAGTCTGCCAAAAAAGGTACCTTATCCGAACTCTTTAGCCAGCCCGAGCGATCACTCGTGCACCTTTAAGACCTTTTTCAAGAAATGAAAAGAAGCTTGTATTTCAACCGATTTCTACTATCCTTTGCACTAAAACCCAACATCCTTTCAAAGTTTTTTGAGTCACGTCACTTCCTGCCTCGGCCCCCTAGCCAGCTAGCTTTTCCTTTAATAAGATCATTAAATGTCATTAGGCAAAAAGGGATCATTAGTTACGTATCATTTCATTTAGGTTGTCACTAACTTAGATGAGAAAGCTACACGTGTCCCCTTAAAAAAACAAAGAAACCGGGAAAAGAAAATTAAGTTCACCGAACTTATGATTAACAAACGGATTAGCATGACAATGACTAGGAAACATATCACTCGTGCGCCCAACAAACCAAAAGATTAAATGATTTATCATGGCTTAATTACGATGTTCCAATTAATTAATTACTCTCTAGAAAAATATCATGACGTAAATTATTCTTGGCATGCACAAGATCTGCGACCATGATTCTTTTCTCCTAAAGAATGCATTCTTTTTATATTGGGATGTCTAGGAAATTGAGACAGCCATAGCAGATTCATATTTGTTTTAGCTCTAATTTAATATTCCAATGATGGGGTTAATGTGGCAACATAGGAGGCAAGAATGGGGGTGAGTCAGTCACTCTTTTCCCCCAAGAAGCACAGAGAACATGACAAACCAGCAAAGACAACTCATTTCCATTATTTAAATTGATTTTGAAATGAACATCAAATCATTTGGACCAAGTTGGCCACAAATGTGACCACATAACCACGTCTCTTTAAGTGTTCCTATAAGTATGCTGAACTTCAACCTGTGATGGCATCCCAGAACTTGACCGCAAAAGCAAAGAAAGAACGATTGCAAAAAATGGCTATATCTTCATCCAAATGCAGAAGCAATTGCCATGTTAGGTCAATTAGCTTGCCTTCAAGATCCCATCCCACCACTCTCAGGATTGTTGATTTGATCAACAAGCTACAATCATCATGGGACGCGGCCTCGACTTTGTCCTCTGGGTCGGTCTGCGCTGGGCTCTCGGGCCTCGAGGAAGTCTATGTTTGCTTGGATGATCTCCTCAACATGAGATCAACTCAACAAACCCTCTCTTGCAGCCAACAGGAGGGATTCATTAACGAGCTATTGGATGGATCAGTCCAGCTACTAGATGTTTGTGACTACACTAGGCAAACCTTGTTGCCTCTTAAGGAGCAGGTGCGCTCGCTCCGATCCGCTCTGCGCCGGAGAAAGGGTGAATCGGGCATCGAGACAGGTGTTGCGGAATACGCCAACTTCAGGAAGAGAATGAAGAAGGATGCCAAAAGATTGATGGCTGCGTTGAGGAAGATGGCGACCAAGCTTGAAGATTATGAACTGGAGAATGAAGATCACCACCTCTCATCTGTGATGAGAGTGGTGAGAGATGCTAATCTGTTGGGCACTTCAATTTTCCAATCTCTATTGTCATTCATGGCAACGCCAGTGTCAAGGCCTAACAAGCAAATTAGCAGGTGGTCCATAGTGTCCAAACTGGTGCACACAAAGGGGGCAATATCTTGGGATCAAGAAGAGAAGCAAGTGGATCTGAATGAGTTGGAATGTGTGGATCGTGCCTTAACCACAATGTGCAAGCACATTTCAAGAGAAGGGGTTGATGGGGAGAAGTTGCAAGTCGCACAATGCAAATTGGAGGATTTGGAGATTGAGATTGGAAGGATTGAGGATGCCTTAGAAGGCCTGTACAGGTTCTTGATTAGAACAAGGGCCTCTCTTTTGAACATTATGTCACAATAGAGGAAACTTTTTCAATTGCACAATTTTGTTCCTTGTACATGCCGATCATTGGGATCCGGCGAAGTGCCGCTGTCCTATAGAAGGTATACATCATATGTATAGTGAAAAAAATAGAAAATAATAATATTATTATAGCTCGTGCTTCTACATAACATTTCAATATCTCTGATTGATAATAATTAATCACTGCGAAATCCATGATGTTAGTCTATTGACAGATAAAGAAAAGATAGAGGAAAGGAATTGAATCCATGACATAATTTTGGACATACTTTGGGCCCATGGACTTTGGAAAGTGTCGCGACCCGCCTTCGGAGGAAGGAAGGCGTCTAGCCTGGATGCGCTAAGTCTAGGTCTGGAACTTAACTCGGGCTCTCCCAAGTCTTTATCATATCGCGGCTTGTGGATTTCTCAATTGCATATACCATTATGCATGCATTTTACTTTACGAAGTAAATGTTTTAAAAGAAAAGAAAAGAAAAGGAGAAACGATAGTAGTGGGGCTCAAATCAATTATTAGCAACTGTCACTACATACAGGAGTATCTTTATCATAAACTTTGCTTCTGATTCCTCTATCTTCCCTATGATGTGGCCATCACTTTTGCTGATGAAAGCTTGACAAATCATCAAGTAATTACAGAGAGTTCCGCATAAAATATAAAAATAAGTTGGTCCCGACATATTTCTAGAATAATAAAACTTCCCCTTTTGCAAGTTTTGTTTCGTTTTTGTTTTTTTTCTTTCAGACTTGTCTAATCCGAAATTTGTACTAATTCAATCGGCACACTGTATTTATTGTAAGCATGAATAAGAACTGAGGAGCTTAGTCATCTCTAATTGGAGGGAGTGAACGTATTTTTCTTAATGTTGAACTTGGCGTGATCATATTTTTTTAATGTTGAACTTAAAACGTCCATGTGGAGTTTACCATGTAACTAATTAGATTGACTCTATGTGCAACAATCTTTTATTTGTATCCTCTGAACATTGCACTTTCTTCATGCAACGGAACGTTGACACTAATTGCTAACTTATTTGGGGGAATAGGTGCAAACCCTAGATGCCCTCTTCTTCTTCTTCTTCCTCCGACATTTCTTTATTCTCTCTCCTTTCTCTCTCATCTTGTTTTCTCAAACCACTTGAGGAGGATTACAACTAGTCAACCATGTGCGATGTTAACCACTGGGATTTGCCCCAATGACCACCCTTCCTACTTGAAAAGCGGGAGGTGGAAAGTTCGAATCTCCACTTTCTTAGGGAGGTTAGGGGTAGGGACGTGTAGTTTCAAATATGAGTTTCGACTCTCATACCCTGCAAGAGGCAAGGCAAAGGTCTGAGAATGAGTTGAGAGTTAGAGTAAGACCGACAAAAAAAAAATCATGTGTGATGCTGGCTCTAATGCAAAACAACCCCTATTAGGCCCCCTTAATTACACACATGCCATTGATTCTTGTAGCTTAGTGGTGAACTGACACGCCATTGAATTTTTTTTTATTTATGGCTTAGCCGGGACTGCGAAAGAAAAAGCCTAGACCGCTATCATGAATAAGTTGGAATTCGGACACATGAAAGGACTTTGATGCGTGGTGGTGCTACGTTAATTTGTTTGCAGTATTGTTTGATTATATTCGAATTCGGATTTTTTTTTCTCTAAGGTCATATTCGAATTCGGATTGATTTCTCATATTACCGTTGTAAGAATGCCTTGCACCTTCTAAGGACAACAATAACCACCCGTTAGACGTGGAATTCAAATCACATCAGAACGTCAGTTCACATATTTCTCATTTTATAATCAAAGCAATCAATTCTTATAGATGATAATAATAATAATAATATTAATTTAAAAAAACAAAAACAAGAACCGGATAAAGTTTTAATCAAATCTTAGTCTTATTAAGAATCTCATTCCCAACCAAGTGGGGTTTACCCTCTTCATGCTTATAACGACTTTGATAAGCTGGTCAACGTCCTAGAATAGTTTCGATTGGGTCCGACTCTTTACACCCGTTAAAGCCCCTTTCACTTTCCGACGCGACAATTGTAAGGACGGTTTCTTACTCGTAAAGATTGAGAGTCCCGAAATGAAATTTCGGAATCCGTTCGAATCAACGGATCGATTATGGCTTATGGGAAAGTATCTCCATTTGATCACACTAGTTGGCCTCGAAGCACCCAAATTTTTTCATATTCCCAAATTTGATCATGGAGTTAATAATCATTTTTGCTAACCTTACATATGCTCTCTCTCTCTCTCTGTTCACTACATAAAATGAGGAGGGTAGACTAGCGTGATTAAGGGGCTGATACGCCCCTTTAATGCCACAACTCCTTCTCCAGAATCCTTGCGAACGGAACCATTTTCTGGGATGAGTTCCTGAATCAGAAATAGATTTTTCTATTTCTGGTTCCTGGATGAGTTTCTGAGAAAAAAAATCCGTTTGATAATGACAAAAAATTTCTATTTCTAGAACAGAAACCCGTTTGATAACAGCATAAAATTTCTATTTCCTGAAATAAAAACCCGTTTGATAAACAACAGAAAATTCTATTTCCAGGAACAAAAATCCATTTTTTTAGAAATGGAATAAAAATAATAAAAAATCCGAAAAATTCATAAAAATCTTTAAAAAAATTCAGAAAATCCCAAAAAATTGAAAAATTCCAGAAAAAATCATCAAAATGTCGAGAAAATAAAAAAAATTTAGATTTCAGGAAAATAGGAAATTTGTTGAATTTTTTCAAAAAATTTCAAGAAATAAAAAATTTCAAAACTTCACAGAATTGCTTAGAATACCTGTGGCCACCCATTTTTAGTGAAATTTAAATATTTTTAGGTGCCCAAAAAAAATCAAAAAATCAAAAATTTCAAAACTTCACAGAATAGTTTAGAATACATGTGGCTACTCCACTTTGAGTGAAATTTAAATTTTTAAGGTGCCCAAAAAAAATTCAAAAACTCAAAAATTTCAAAACTTTACGGAATGGCTTCAGAATACGCAATAGTCACCCACTTTGAGTGAAATTTTAATTTTTGGAGGTGAAAAAAAGCACAAAAATTAAAAATTTCAAAACTTCATGAATAACTTAGAATACATGTGGCCGTCCACTTTGGTGAAATTTAAAATTTTTAGGTGAAAAAAAAAACATAAAAAATCAAAAATTTCAAAACTTCACAGAATGACTTACAATACCTCTAGCCACTCACTTTGAGTAAAATTTAATTTTTTAGATGCCCAAATGGTATTTTTGATTTTTTTATATTTTTTTTGGTTCCTAAAAAAAATTAAATTTCACTCAAAGTGGATGGCCACATGTATTCTAAGCCACTTTGTGAAGTTTTGAAAATTTTTCTTTTTTGCTTATTTTTATTTTTTTTTTCGACACCTAAAAATTAAATTTCCCTCAAAGTGGGTGGCGTACGCAGTATTCTAAGCAATTATGTGAAGTTTTTTATTTTTTATTTTTTTATTTTTTTCGGCACCTAAAAAAATTTAAATTTCGTTTAAAGTGGATGGCCACAGGTATTCTAAGCCATTTTGTGAAGTTTTGAATTTTTTTATTTTTATTTTTTTCGGCACCTAAAAAAATAAAATTTCGCTCAAAGTGAGTGGCCACAGGTATTTTAAGCCATTCTGTAAAGTTTTGAAATTTTTACTTTTTTGCTTATTTTTATTTTTTTTTGGCATATAAAAAAATTAAAATTTCACTCAAAGTGGGTGGCCACAGGTATTTTAAGCTATTCTGTGAAGTTTTGAAATTTTTTATTTTTTATTTATTTTTTTCGGCACCTAAAAAAAATTAAATTTCACTCAAAGTGGATGGCCACAAGTATTCTAAGCCATTCTGTGAAGTTTTGAAATTTTTGATTTTTTGCTTTTTTATATTTTTTTCGGCACCTAAAAAAATAAAATTTGGCTCAAATTGGGTGGCCACAGGTATTCTAAGATATTCTGTGAAGTTTTTAAATTTTAGTATTTTTTATTTTTTTTGGCAACTAAAAAATTAAATTTTTCTCAAAGTGGGTGGCCATAGGTTTTCTAAGTCATTTGTGAAATTTTGAAATTTTTATTTTTATTTATTTTTTTATCTTTTTCGGTGCTAAAAAATTTAAATTTGTTTGAAAGTGGGTAGCCATGATTCTAAACCATTCTGTTAAGTTTTGAAATTTTTGATTTTTTGCTTTTTTTTTCTTACCTCAAAGATCGTGACTTCCATATGAATATGTGTGTTGAAGAAAATGAATTCCTCAGAAATGGTTCTCACTTTTGTTCCAGAAATGAAAAACCAACTTTTTTTTTATTCTCATTTCTGGTTTCAGAATCAGTTTTGGAAGCAAATTTGTCCGGAAATAGAAAAATGAAATTGCGTTACCAAACGGGTTTTCACGGTCGCCGATACGGGAATAAAAGCAGAGTTACGGGCAGGCGAACCAGAATGGTTTTCATGCGGCACCTAAATTTGCCTTCCTCATCCCCATTTGAAGCTCTCAAACCCTCCAATCAGTCAAATATCTTGCCATTGATTTGCAGAGTTCAACCTCCACCCACCAAACCATCAATTGTTATTCACCAACCTCCACCCATCCACTCCAGAGGAGAGGAGGAGGAAATGTTCAGCGCTTTGAAAGCGCCACATCAGCATTTTTTCCTCACATCCAATCAAATTTTGACACGTGTTTGTTGATATGAAATTAAGGGAAAAAAATAAAAGCTTCTTCTTGTTCAAATGGCCATCGACCTCAGACTAGCCGCCTGCAATCTTTGAACACCACCGCGCCAGAGGCCGAGCCTTCATATCTATCCAGGTTGAGGATGAAGGTGACGAAGACTACACAAGCCGAGCCTCCAAATCGACTCTACCTTAACTTGCTTCAAGCTCATCCATGGCCGCCTCCAAATCTGATCGAGCTCGACTACATCCAAACATCATCCGCCCTCAAACGGTTCGAGCTCAACCCGTTAAAGCCCTTTTTTATGTTCCTACGTGACAATCGTAAGGACGATTTCTTAGTCGTAAAGATCGAGAGCCCCGAAATGAAATTTCAGAATCCGTTCGAATCAACAGATCGATTATGGCTCATGGAAAAGTATCTCCATTTGATCATGCTAGTTGGCCTCAAAGCACCCAA